CTCTGCATTGTTAAAAAATAGACAATAAAATATTTTCCGTCCGTTAACGAAGTCATTGGTTTGACCTGGCAACTATGGCTAAACTGTCAGCGATAGCAGTTCCTGTCTCTAACACTATAGACCAATTTCTTTATTTATTGCAAATGGCAGGCGTTATGATAGGTATCATTAGCCCTTTAGTTGACTTCGGGCTTCACAGAAAGGAAGATGAACATCAAAGTGGCAAAAAGTCGAGAGGGGGACAGAACAATGTTTCACAGATGTAAAAGAGATAGACAGACAGACACAAAGGTAGAGAAAAGGTAAGGTAAGATGAGTGCTGTGAAATTATTCGAATATGAAATGCAGTGGGGTCATGGTAGTTTGAAGTCAGAAGTCAACTGCCGGTTAATAGACTTTTTTGCCGTATGAGTATACGTTGCCCAGGGTGCACCACGTGGAGGTAAGTCTATCGCACACCCCACCAATATCTTAATTTCTCAATATCCTAGTGAAAATGATGCAATGTGAATTTGACAAATGCTTACAAATGTTTGCAGAAAAGTCAAGGCATATGCAATACGACGGAACTACCATTCTTACGTTTCAAAAATGTGAAACGCAAAAGCTGAATTGATTAGATGCAATAAAAATGGTGGAAATTGAAACTTGCGACATTAGAACCAAGTAATGCTTCTCATCTAGCTATACAAAATGTAGAGAAATATAGACTGTTTTAAATCTTTATTGATTGTAAATTAAACCTTAAGTGGATTATAAATAATGCTGAGTATAAAGAACGAAGGTTATCGAAAGTGTGAAGTCTTCATAAAACCCTAAAATCGTGACCTCAAATTCTGATAAACGAAAACGGTTCGAACTGACATTAAACATTCTCCTCGAGAACGCTTCTCCTCTTAACGTACTTATTAAATAATGGAAATCAATAAAATTGCGGCAGTTATTTATTCAAAAAAAAAACAAATAGAGAATAAGCATCAAGCTTTCACCAAATAAATTATCCCTTATTAAAAAAATACGATTTAGAAATAATGCAGACTCACTTCATGAGTAATGTCACTATTGGGCATATCTAGTTATAATCAAGGTCTGGGCCTAAAGAAGTTGAATGCGTCCTCTCAAGAGGATGAAATTCGAAATTTTGAGACGAAAGTTGATAAGGGCGGGGCATCCGAATTGAGGGAGGGATAATTGCCACCTTCAACTCATCGGGCGTGGCCACGCTCAAATGGGGTGAAAATAAATTCCCATCGTGGTTAGGGCTTTCACATCACCTTACTTTTTGATTTTAAAGTTAATTGACATGCATTATAAAAGGAGGACTTTTCTTGCGAACTCAAGAATTTTTAATTGGCAGTGCATTCTAACAGCATAATAAAAATTCAAATACGATCCTATTCAAGATTTATTTATACTAAGTGGCAGTCTTTATGATGAGTATCATTAGCTCTTTGGTTGACTTCAGACTTTACAGAGGGGAAGAACATCGAAGTCTGACTTTGGGCTTCACAGAAAGGAAGAGGAACACCAAAGTGAAACTTCAGGCTTCACAGAAAGGAAGATGAACATCCAACTGGTAAGTTGAGAGGGGGAACAGAAGAGTGATTCACAGATGTAAGAGACGGACAGACAAAAGTATGGAAAAAGGTAAGGTGAGGTGAGTACAGTGAAAGTGGTGGAACATGACATACAGTCATACATGTTAGTTTGATGTCAGAGGTGAGTTGTCGGTTTATAGACTTCTGCCGTATGAGTATATGTTGTCCAGGGGGCACCACGTGGAGACATGTCTATCGTGCATTAATTTTTAGATTTAGCATTAATACCAACCAAATGCGGTTATTTACTTGATAGTACAACATAATTAAATTTTTTGATTCTAAGTACGAAGACTAACTATAAGAGAACACCCATTTGCGTCAGAAATGGTCACTCTTGGGATGTACTGAAAACTTAAATACATGATCGTAGTAAATGGCTTATTTTTGGAATTTGATGACTCAGGAAGAAATAAAGTAATAATTCCGGTATGTATAAGTCTTTTTTAGTGATAAAACTCTTTCCTCGCATTGCCATTAATTGACCTTTCATTATATCATTATTTGAACGACATTTTAATCACTATGCGGAGGTTAGCTAAAATTAATTGGTGGTCTGCAAAACGTAGTTATTTCGCAAGATTTTTATTGTTTTTTTTTGCGCAAAGCAAGACAGTTAATCAGATGAATAAGGGCTTTATGGGGGAGTACAAGTTGTTATCATTTTAATGAAACATTTTGGAGAATTAAACAAAGTCAAAGAAACAACAATTTATGGTTGAAATAATTGTCAGGTCCTCAAAAGCAACGTATGAGGGACGAAGTGTAAGAATTGAATATCCCGAGGCAAAACAAATTTCCCTGTTTGAACTCTTTATTGACCACCTATCAGATTTCATTTTCAATTTTTGCATTAGACATTTCACATTCATTTAGCATTTAGTAATCATTACATTCTACGGCCTTCTATAGTGAAATCTCTATTCACATAATATCTGCTTTTCAAAATATTGATAATCAACTTGGAAATTAAATGACCACTTTGTAAGTCGATGGATTATCATTTGAGCATCTTTAACAACCGGCTTCCACTTTAGATTATGAATTGTTTCAAGCGAACAATGAACCATCAGGATAATATCGCAATTCACATCTGCAGGCGCAGTTGTGCGATGTTTCCTATTAAATAAACACACATCAATATCAAATATCAGTCAGAATTAGTTAAGCACTTAGGACAACTAATCTTCTGCTTAACTTTCGTAGACAAATTTCCATATAATCCCAGACAAGATAGAAAAAACACTTAAATCAATAAAATTATGATTAGATCTGCTGATTGATTAATTTTGATTCTTTAACTTTCTTTGGGATATTATTTTATAATTTTTCTTCAAGGAACGAAATTATTTATTTGAATTAAAGGCTTTTCGACCCAATAAGAATTACATACCTTTAGCGAGCTTCGTTGCAGAAATTTTAGCTTTTAGAACTTTTGTTAACTTTCAAAATGAGTCCAAAATTTTGTGTTGAGAAATCACGTGGATGGCATGATTCCGTAAACCCACCCATTGGGAAAGACTATTTGGTTCATATCAGGACCCAACCGGTAGCTAAAATACCCATTAACAAATAACTCCATTGTTGTATATCCAGGTTGTTCGAGGTGTCTAGTGAGCTCTCTGATGTATGGCTTGAAGAAGCACCATTTTTCAGGTTCAAGGATGCAGAGCAACCCGAAGGAGAGTTACGAGTTAATTACGACTTGAATTTCAAGGCCATAAATTTACGCCGATTAATGAAAAGAGAAAATCTGGAACAGGGACTTTTCTCTAAAGGTGGTTCACTGATTTGCGTCTTTAATTTTGAGATGGTTCAAATGTGGTGGAATTCATTTCAGTTTCAGTAGACACCTGATGGTACGTGTTTCTTTATTCACGCTGTGCAGGACTCCTCCTTAATTGAAGTGCTGTTTGGCTTGCTCAGTAAGACGAAGGACATGAAAGTGAAGATTTTTGATCATTCAAGAATAGAACAATGAGCGAATGGGTTTCCCAGTCTTTTTGTTTACTTCAAATTAAATTGCCCTATAAAATTTAATTGAAAGTCTGTTTATTTTTCTCGAACGTGAGACTAAAATCTGAAGGAATTTAGTGAAATATTCAAACAGATGGGAAGTGGTCTCTTAATATGTATAAACTTGAAATCGACTTAACTATTTTTGCTTTAATGAAATATTTTAAAACGAGGCTAAAGCAAACCTGAGAAAATCGTCTAAAATCTAATCTTGCTGATTGTGCTACTAACTTATATAAGTAGCAATGATTGAGACCTACGTCGATTTGCGCATCTAACGCATATAACCCAACTGAAATAGCCTCCACAGAAGATTTACTGATTTAAGGCTGGACAGAATTAGCTTTGTCTAAGGAATCCGATTCGTAAGCTCTGACACTCTAAAGGGTCTATAATGTCATTTTCAAAAATAAAATAGAAGCGTGGATTCTATTTATTACAGTTGCTCATGATTCAACTACTTGATAGGCGTTTCATTCATACTGTCAAAAGTTATTTTAAACGTACTAATTTTTTAAACTTTTGCCAAAATTCACAGATGGAATGATGCATTCAAAATAAGTTTTCAGCTTTTACCAAATTTTCAAAAAAAACTAAAATAGATATTGACCCAAAGTTGTTTACGGGTCTGTTTAATACTTTAGAGCATTCATTTAAACTTTGTATTATATGGAATAAAAGAGACTCCTATAGATTTTTTTATCAGGTCAATGTGTTCAGTTTGGTTAACTCTAGTCACCTCAGTTACAACAGTGCTAGAGACTAAGAATAGCCTTTTGGAATGTCAGCCTCAACGTTGGGAGCTTCAAAGCAGATAACATCTTTGGAATCCTACCTTGAAAAGTCATTTGAGCAGTCATGGGGAAAGGTATATCATTGACTGTTTGCCTTCAAAAAAAACTGCTCTCTGCAGTTTACTAGGTATCATTTAGGAGAATTATTATTTCATAATCTTCAAATATTTCTTAAATAAAATATTTTATCTGGGAATTTTAAATATCAGAAAGATGGGTAATAAGTAATTTATTTAATATTACTTAAATTGATATTAGTTAAATTTCGCGAACCAGATCCTTTCAAAATCGAATTATCATGCAAATGAGAAACTTACAAATGTAGTGCCCAAATGTTGGAATCGTAACGATCCAATCAAAATTAAGTAACACCCAATATCAACCAATGACAGTCTTAATTCAATCTTAGTGCATTTCCATTGCAGCATAAAGAGAACGCCCCGATATTCTGCTTCTACTCACGCCTGACCTTGCACACAATTACACAACAGCCAACAGCAAATCAAGTAGCTGGATCCGAGGCATCGCATTTTCACATTGCAATTCCACTTGCCTCCAGTTGCCTCTAAAAAAATAAATGATCTAGTCACAAATGATTTCTAAGCAGCTCCTCTTTCTAGTAATAATTCTGCCCTTTCTCCAAGCTTATTCAGACGCCAATGGAGGATGCTTTGTGGAATATCCCGACCCTCGAGATACAGTCTTCAAAGGAGCGGCCAAGGTCGTCACTGAAACTTTCGATGTGGGCATCAAGGCTATAATCGAAATCGATGGAATTATCGCCGATCCTTCCAGGGCTCTGGCTTACCATTCAAAACACGTAGAAGCATACCTTCCAAGTCCAACATGTTTATCTTCTGTACCAATAGGAATGCAACAAAATTGGTCTGGAAATTATATTCTGGATCGGAATAAGCTGAAATTCGTTGTGCGAATGGTTCGCAAATTTGGTAATCCCATTTGTTGTTTTTTGTTAATGAGTAGCATTTTTTCATCTAAATTGAATTGCTAGATGCAACCGAACACATCCATCCCAATTTCCAAACATCTTTTGATAGTTTCCTTTGAAATATTAAAGTTCCATGAGTTGTAATTTTCCGTAGTGATTACTGTGGATAAATTTGTCAAGACAGAGATCACGAATATACCACAACTAGTCAGAGAATGATTTGAAAGTCTATTTTTCTCCTGAAATGAAAATTATTTAATCAAATCAGTTTAGATTACCTAAAATAAAATATTAATGTTTTCTTCCATAAACTGTTAACGAAAAAAATTAACATACCATATATTCTAGGGGGTAAAAATATGCCACATAAGTAAATTACAAATTCAGATGATGAACCCCAATAGTGATTGGTTAATGTGAAGGGAATTAACAAAACTTTGATTATAAGGACACTATGGAGCTAATTTTTATATTTCCAAATTACCAGCAATGTTAAAAATACATTCCCTTCACATGTTTACAATAGGAAAATAATTTTATAAAACGGTTAAAGGTAAAGGCTCATTTTCGCTCTGATCATATATTTTCCCTTCTGTTTATTCAAATGAAAGACTTTGTGTAGTCGAGAGTTCATTTTATCTTAGTTTCTGAAGAAATGGGGCCATATCTGAAGAGACCTATGTATACTACTGCATTATGTAGATTAGTAGTAGTATTTATTTATGAAGAATGAAATTAATTTTTTATTGTGTGGGAAAATGTTCGAGTAAGCGTGATTTGGCTTAGCTCCAATAAATCTACAGAATTGCACACACACAGGAACTTCTTATTCATCTCTGAAAACAACTGATGAGTAATTATAACTTTCATCTATCTTCAAACCAAACGCCATTTTATTATCAATCAATAAAATCTTGTTGTTATAGATGGTGGATCCAATTCGATTAGTAAAAAGGCATTTATTTTGAATGATTGCTGTTAAAATTGAAGCAAAAAGGATTGATTTTCCAACTGCACCTTACTGTCTACATCGCAGTCAATAAAATGTACTATTTGAATATATTTATTATTTTTACCTTTTCTTTTTAATTGCGATTCATGTGCATTTCCAATGCAGGACATGTAATAGTAATTTAATCATCAGAAAAAAGCGAAGTGGGCGGATTATGATTAATGTCAATAACTTATTTTTTTAAAACTTGATGGATCTTATGTGAACCACGAAATTGATATCTAAGTAAGACATCTGAATATCACTTTTGGCGTATATCTTCATTATGAACTTAATGCGAGAGCTAATTAAAATGCACGGCTATAAATCATTTCATTTGAAAGGGTTCATCTATGAGAAAAATAGTCTATTTCTCTGTTGACAACAGATAAATGAAAAATATGGAAATTTTTAAGTCAAATAAATTGTGCATTTTTGTGCTTTTCCTCATGAATAGACACGCCTATCTTAACTTAACTTATGCACAGGAGTGTAATTATTTTATTAGAGCTGAGTTTGCCTGAGTTTAAAGAGACATCCCTCAGCAGAACCAGACTCCCTACGAGAAATGTGCTTAATAAACGGATTATTAAATTGATCACTTTATGTTCAGAATGATACTGAGAGATTAATATTCCGTCTATAAAAGTGTCCCATATCATTTCGGTTTCGAATTACTTGGATGGACCCGTCCTACTGAGAGTGTACAGATCAGATCACAGGTTCCTAAATAAATTCAGAGCCGAGTAGAAAGACCAATTATTTTATCTGGGAAACTTTGTTGTTTAAAACAATATAGAATAACGACATCATGGATTGTAACTTTTTTAAATTGAACAGCTTGAAGCATTATCAAAGATCTTTTATAATGGGTATAAATTTATTCTTAAATATATTATTTTAAATTCTCTTGAGAAATTCTTCATTTGATATTAATTTCCATGCAAAACAGATGGAAAGTATTTCAAGCTGACTGTTGTCGGATCTATAGAATCTACTGGGTTATATTTAACCAAACTTTATTTGGAAACTGCGAAATATTGGATGTCTCGTAAGATCGCTGTCACTTCCCAACTACCAATAGGGAAAAATTGTGAATTGAAAAGACAATACCAACCCATTCTTATTACAATTTCACTCAATAAACCCACAAACAATTTTACCTTAGTTGGCAAGTCGCTACTGTGCTCACAATATAATTGTTTCCAATATAATCATTGCATGCCATTATCCAAGCTTGATGAGATATTGTTCCCAAAAATAATAATAAATTTTAAAGTATAAATTCAATCCAACCTTGAAAGGCGTTAGAAACTACATCAAAAGGATAAAATAAAATGATAAAATTATCTACTCAAAAATTCAAATAATTTTAAGAGTTTCGAAACAAATACAATAAGCACATTTATTTGGTATTTACGCGTGCTTTCCCAGTAGATAAGATTTTATACTAATTTCATGTGAAGAAAAATTTAATCTGTCTAGTTAATATGCGATTTTGAAATAAATTTATTCGCTGAAATAGCGACTAAGAAAACTGACAAACTTATCAAGAAAGAAAATCTGCCATTTGGTTCATGATATGCATATTATTTTAATCTTAGCTATAAAGAAAAAAACAGAAGTTTATTTTTGGTTAGCCAAACAGTTACAAAACTGATTCCTGGAAGATTCGATTTGCACTCTGACATGTGGAGAGACGAATAACGCAACTCTGAAATGTCAAGCATCAACATCGACGATAACGCCAGGAGTTTGTTTAGGTAACTTCTCAAGCACAATTTCATTTGATTGTTGTTGCCTTCGATCGCAAAAGTTTATGCTTAATTCGGAGCATAAAGTTTAAATTTTTGTAATTTTTTTCATAAAAGGATTTGGAAAGACATTTTCGTACATTACTAAATATTAAAGTATTGAATACTTAATTAACTGATTAGAAGATGAGAATTTGTTTTTAAGTATGAATTAATATTTCTTTTACCGAATATTCTCCTTTGGACACGGGCGGTTTTAATTGTTTTCTCGGTTGAAAATGAAGACAGCGTCTAAATATTGGCTTAAAATTTACTTGAAAATTTATATTTTATAAAACGTGTGACATCAATGACTCTTTAGACTATTTCAGCAAGATCGACATCGTAATAATCGACATATATATATATATATATATATATATATATAGTGAAAAACCTTTCAAATCCATACTATGAATCCTTGATTTAGTTGCCGTGCTTCTGATTGCTGACCCATATGCATTTGCATGCATATTCATCCAGCATTTAGTCACAGTTTCAACTGTCAATTAAAGGTCATTTGTTTAGGATGATTAACTTAGCATCGACAAAGCCAATTTTTACTCAATGCCACTTGGTCTCATTTGGAAGGCACAACATTCTTTATTTCTTTCAATTATTTCAGTCATTCGAACCACCACAAAGTTGGCCCATACAAAATTAGATTATTGCTAAAATTATAAGACGAAACGTTGATAAAGATGATCTGTCTTGCTTGTATATCCCGTTTCGAGTCTCATGTCCCATAAATTCGGATCGTAAAGTGATCTCTTAGCCGTTCCTCGTTTTAAGCCAAGAGGTCTATCCATCAACTTTTTTGAACTGAGAGATTTGAAATAATTCAATTTTTCTGGCGATAACTTTAACAACGCGATAACGTATTTACATTGATTTATTTGCCATTTAAGGGAGATTAAAACGAGTTTTCTACAATATTTTAGTATAAGTATATGCCTTATAAATGAAAAAATTATATAACTATTCACTTGAGTAGTAGATGTTTCCATAAGATCTTTCTCCCCACTTATAACGAGACATCATAGATGAGAAAGGACTGAGCTCGTGGTTAATAGGAATGGTGTTCACACGTTTAAAGACTTTAAGCTTACATCATTCGCAGATAGTTTCTCACGAATGTTTGAGAAGAACAGTGCCAATGGAAGACAACGATAGCAGAAAAATGACTTTGTAAAGACATGACAGCAGGTTAGACTATTGCCACGAGAGCGAGAGACAATGTTGAGTGCCTTTCATGACACACATTCACACATCTGAAGTACATCTTTCTAAAGAGTGGTTCCTCTTATGTGCACAGCTTTGGCACCTATGTCTGGGTTTTCAAAAATATTAACAAGAACATATCATATTTTTATACATATTTGATTACCGTAACATGTGATATTTGTAGCTTGTGTTTCGAAAAAACTAAAAGTCTAAATTCGTGACTTATAGTTCACAGTAAGACGTAAAGGTTACAAAATTTTAATTCTTGAGGAAGTATTTAACACCACGAAATAGAATAGGCCATGAAGAGATGAAGAGAAAAACATTAGGTAAAAGTTGAAACAAAACCAAAATTGCTTAATTTTGCCTAATTTTTAAAATTCGACTTACTACTTTGCATTATGACTATAGTTAGCTTTTCCGTTTTCCGATTCCTGAGTGGATTTATATCTACTGTTTCCAAAGATTTTTGAATGATTGGCAAATTAAGATAATTAAATTTAATAATTAACTTTTAATATCTGATCTTTTCAAAGGTAAAATGCTAACTTGTCGCTTCTAGCTAGCAGGACGAACTCCAAGGCTGATGCACCTCTGAATCAGAAACTGGAATTTGTTGAACCTACGTTAGGATTCGAAGATTTAATCTGGGTTGAAGTACTAATGTATATTGCTTTAGTCGTGTTTCCACGAGTTTAGAATCGTTAAGTTTTTCGAGTTTGTACTTGCTGAAGTGGGAGTAACGAGAACCGAAATCACCGATTAAGGGATCATCAATTTGCAGGAACTAATGAACCAGAACCAGAGTTCCAACAACAGCAAGCAGCGGTTCTATAAAGTAGAACACAAAGTGTTGATGGTATATTTTTTAAAATGAACCCTTATGAATCAACCTAACTCATTTAAAATGAAGAGAGAGAAATTTGACAATTTTCAATGAAAAGGTGCCTGTTATGGGGAATCATCTTAAACTAGCTGAGTTATTACAATATGAAAAAAACAAATTCATGAAGAGGCCTCGATGAGCTCATAGAATTGAATAACCTAACGATGGCGTCCGCAACCCACAATTCAGGTATCCAGGAAGTTACACTTTGATGAGAAAATCATGATTTAATTAATTTATAATGAAATTCTAGTTTTAATCTTACTCCTTTGCTTTCACTCATCTTCCACACACACACACATACACACACACATATATATATATATATACATGAATTTAATACTTCGTATTCGGTGATTATCATCAAATCGTTTTCTCAGACATCCGTGTCTTTCATTTAGGGCACGTTTACAGGCAAGTTGGGCATAATGTTGTTATTTTGTCCGTTTAACCCTGTAATTCTAAAAAAATAATCCGATAGCGTCAATTTTCTTTGATCCTAATTTTATTAGTCTCGAAATAAGATATTTAAAGTGTTTTCTTGTTATATTTTGACATTGTTAAATAGGGTAATTTTACTTTGTTTCTTGAGGAAATTTTGACTTAGAAGAATGTTCTATTTTTACCATTGTACGACACTGAAGATTTTGATGTATGTAAACTACGATTGGATGTATCCGTCGGGTCTTGAAAATCTCATGGGTGTGATAAGGACGACCATCTGCAATGCAGGTGCTGCGTGAAATGGGTTCTAAGGCCAATTTTATTTTATAGTCTCAGAAGAAGCTTGAGAAATCTAATTGTGAACCCAGCTTAGTTTGCCGACACACTACAAACTCCCTGAGTAGAAATCGACTTGAACGGAAACTTGACGAGGTCATTAACAGACAACCTAGGAGAACAGCACCCTTTCAGAGTTGAGAAGCCGGGAAAAATTGAATACCCCCCCCCCCACCCAATTAATTTGGCCTATTCGGGAGATTTTATGATTTTATAACAACAGCGCATCCCGAAATTTATGAGGAGAAAATTCATGATTTTTTATTTATTCAAGGCTTTATTTGAAATTGATAAGCACATAACTATAACGGGTAATACAAGTTTTTTTTTGACAACAGGTCAAGACGTGTGGCTATAAAGTTAGCAAACATGAAATCACTGCCTTTAAGTGCAAACAGAGTGCTCCAGTTGATCTAGTTGTCAGGTTTAATTCTGGTCTGGAGAGGTAGTTCGAATGCAATTCTTTAAGGAGATATCTCTTGGATAAATTTCATCGAAGGAAGCCTACTGATCTTATAGGTAGTTTAAAAACATCCCAAGAGCATATTTCGAAGGGTGGGTTTTGGGAGGTGGGGCGAGGAGATAGATAACCTATGTTTTCTCAAATTCTAACCTAAAATGCTTTGTTATTTATTTTAATACGACTTTGTCATAGTTTCAGAATACTTTAAATGCCCCAGTTGTCTCTAAAGTAATTTATTATCATGTGATAAACTTATGGATTATATGAATTAAACGGCCGTTCTAAATATTAAATAATAAATGTCATTAACAATTGAAGTAAGTTTCACAAGCAATTATATATGAATTATTTGACTAAATATTTGTTGCAAAAGTGTGCTAGTTTCCCAAATTTACAAATTTACATACTTTTACCTGGTTTGTGCTCGAATAAATATAATTTTTTACTTGAAGGTCTTTGCTAGTCTTTTTTACGTTTCCTTTCGTTTATCCTTTTTTTCTTGTTTTGGGAACCGATTCGCAGCTACTGCAGAACTATTTCCGTAAACCCTAAAGGTTAGATCTTTTCTTCAATGAAGACAATTCTGAACTAGTGCACCCAAAAGGTATTTTGTCATATGCACGAATAAAGAAGACCAAATTCGTCAAAAGTTTGGTTGAAACAGATGACTCATTTTCAGGTTTTTACCTCATCCAAATTTGTCGAAACGTAGCGCACACATTCACTGGCCCTTTAAAACCCTAAACTCTCATCTCACTTGAAGGGGGAACTTTGCAACTTCCCACCACAGGGCAACACTGGTAAAAGCGTCCAGACTCTTGAATATGCTTGAGGAAATATCGTCAGCCATTGAGAGCTAAAAGTTTATTGATTACCATGGTAAATTGAAATGAATGCTTTTTTAACCCAGATTCGATCAATAAGGATCCGTGTTTGAATAAACAATGCCACCCTGGTGCTATATGTGAAACTTGGAATGACGTGGCAATGACGAAGGTAGCCGTCTGCACATGCCTGTCACTATCCGACCTCCAGGTGTCTGGTCGATGTCAATTGCAAACGGGCGAACTCTGCGCTTCTAATGGAAGCCTGTATGCCAGTACCTGTCATATGCTTCGCGATGCTTGTCTCCAGCAAACAGCTCTTAATGTCGTTTCTTGGACAGCGGTTAATGAGGAAGATTGTCGGCAACAAGCTGGTATGTCTGGCTGATTTTGTTTAAACTGATATATTTATCTTCGTGAGTACATTTAAGTGTAATATTTTCTGAGCTCCATGCATACCATTTCGGATCTACTTTAAATATTTGTAGTTAGGAAAACAACCACTTTAAGGAAATAAGCATTCGGCAGTGAATACTTCCACTATTCCTTATTAACTTATTGAATCTCTTTCTGACAATCCCGAGTAATTTCAACATCCATATCTACGTTGGATGTTTACCTCCTAATGCATTGCTTTTATTTTTCAAAATTTGAAGTTAAAAAGTAGATTTAGGTGCTTTTAGATATTTGAACTCGTGAAAATAAAACCCGAAAAAAACTAGCATCAATTGCACCTATTAAAACAATTAAATCAAGTTCAGCCTGCGCAGGGGTTGGGGGAAAGGTGAATTTAGTTGTACTGACATAGAGCTTATCACGTGGCCTGACAGAAGAGTGATGTTAACAAATTGATTAACTTAATCTGAGAATACACTAGGTGAATTTATGAACTATTCGGAACTTTTATTAGGGAGATGCGTACTTTCAAAACTTTATTTGAGGGAGCACTCAGTTGTATGGCCCAACGCAAAGTTCCATTACTTTAGTACCTGCTCAATTTAGACGGCAAATGATATACCTGTTAATTTATTAAGACGCAAATATTTAAATAAATAGGGGTCATTTATAGTTTAATCTAACTTAATCCAAATAAAAACTTATCACAACGAAGCCTTTTGAAAAGTATAAATTTCGATATCTACCCCTGTGAATTTTAGTAAGTGCGCGAGGTTTAAGGGTAAAGCTATGTCGTCGTATTGAAAACCCTTTTTTTCAGTAAACGCACATATACGTTGACCTTAAGAGTGGTGAGGCACTCTGTACCTTTATATTTGGATAAAAACTGAATTGCATATGCGAAAATTACCTTAAGATCGGAATAACTACATTTGAATCGCAGAATATACGAAGTTAGTGCCAAGTAACTTTGCAGTCGTCGATTTTGTCAGGGTGGCACTTACCTGTAATTAGCATGGTGATTATGCCCTCATTAACAGTGAAAAAGTCGAGATGAGGGGGAAGTGGGAACAAAAGAGTGGTTCAAAGATGTAAAAGAGGCCGACAGACACAAAAGTAGAGAAAAGGTAAGATGAGCGCTGTGAAAGTGGGGGAATATGACATACAGTAGGGTCATGGTCAGAGGTCAATTGCCGGTTTATAGACTTTTTTGCCGTATGAGTATATATTGCCCAGGATGCCCCAAATGGAGGTAAGTCAATCACACACCCAATTTTTAGAGGTATAGTTCTAGTGAAATATCTTTTAAGTGTTCATTAAAGCTAAGCTGAATCGACAAATGGATAATATGACCAATTTTCGCTTCCCTGAAATTTATTCTTTCCTCGGTTCGTTCCTCTCAATCTACTCAATATGACTCTGATGCTAATAATAGCATATAATATCGTTTAAACAGCCAAAATATTAGGTTGGCAACTAAGTCATTGCTGATTTCAAATAAGAAGGCAAATTCGGAATTTTTGTTTAAAAATATAACTTTATTCAATTAGATATTGGCCGTTCTTGTCGATGACCTTTTTCCATCGTTCTGGCAGAGTAAAAATTCCCCCTTCGTAAAATGTCTGGTCTTTGCTATTAAAAAACTGAATTAGGTGTGATCCGACATCATCCGCGTTGTTAAAATGTTACCATTTAAAGAGTTTTGCATGGAATGAAACAAATGGTAATCCGAAGGCGCAAGGTCAGGGCTATATGGTGGGTGTGACAAAACATCCCAACCCAGTTCCAATAATTTTTGCCGAGTAACCAAAGATGTGTGGGGCCTTGCGTTATCATGATGAAAAACAACACCCTTCCGATTTGATAATGCCGGCCGCTTATCTTCAATTGCATCCTTCAGTTTTTCGAGTTGTTCAACATACACATTTGAATTTATCGTTT